GAAAATACCGCAAGACTTTTTTGGCAACCTAATATATAATTGCATACAGATCTTCTCAGTAGAGAAAATTCGGTAGAAAAAGCATTATCTGATTTGTAATATAAAAAATGCCTCCGTAAGTTATTTTTTGAACATTTTATTAACTCTTTAGGTGTCTCAATTCTCAAATTTTTAAGCATTTTATATCAACATAAAGTTTTACATAATTTACCATTTAATTCTTTATAACAATAAATTATGTATTCTAAAATGTAACAAATTTTTTTCTGTTAAAGATTTCGATGATTTGAATTAAGTTAATGTAAATTTTGAAGTCATTTTAATTTTGACTTTTTTCTTCAATTCGACAAAATAATGTTAAACGTAGAACTGATTTTTTTAACCACTTTGAAAATATGCGCTTATTTATTAAAATAAATATTTTTCTTTGAACAAACAAAAAAATTCAGAAATTTTAGATCGAAATGAACAGCAACAGCTGCTGTCAGCTTATCTTCGGTTGCTATTTTGTTTTGATGCAGCGATTGCCTCGCGCCGATTAGTCATTTGTACTAATTTAGTTTACAATAAAAATGAAATGAGGGAAATACCGCTTTACTCATAAATGAAGAGCACACAATCACGCCATGTAGGAAAAGAAACGGCAAAGTCGAGTTCGTTTACTTCTGATAGGATACAAAGACTCGAATATCACACTTTCGATAATTAATTAATCGATAATACATAAAAATCAATATTTTATCATAGATGTTCAAAGTTATTCGATATATTTACCCCTCAATTTGAGTTAAATTAAGGATTTTTATTTTCTATCGATAATCGACATCGTCGATAACACATAAATATCGATGTTCAAAATTTTTCGATACATTCGCAGCTCAATTTAAGTTCAATTAGGTATCTATCATTAATCGAAATCGTTTAACACATAAATATCGGTATTTTATCATAGATGTTCATAATTATTCGATATACTCACACTTCACACATTTTTGTAATCAGGTTTTTTAGTTTAGATCTAAAGGCTTTTATGGTTTTTTGTAAAATTCTTGAATGAGAGATCAAAGGTATAAAATCGAGAATCATTAAAAACTCAGAATAGCAACATAAAAATATAGCAAATATTGTCAAAAGTGTTCAATGGAACCTATTAATAAAGAGATATTACCATTTCGATTATAACATAGATATAATCGATTATTAATGAAAATCTGAAATCGATAGTTTCTGCGATGATCAATTCCAATTATGTCCTAATCGCTAATTCCTAGTAGATTTAATATAATCGATAATGAGGCAAAATCTAAATTCGATATATATCGAAAGTTTCTGCTATAATCTACTTTGATTATATCCTATCATCGCTGATTCCTAGTAGATATTTTCACTTGTTCTTTTCTCGGTGACGCTCATTGCTTTCATAATATAACATTTTAAGTCCTTCTCGCTTTAATTGGAACCTGACTGTAAATAAAAGTGTCTGATTTTCAAAGTTTGAATTCAGTTTCTAGAGTAGATCATTTTCCTACCGTCCAGTTGTGGAAATATGCGGTATATTTTAATGTTCTTAGTGTCAACAAAAAATAGCAACGTCAGGTGGCTTCGTCAACGCCTCAAGAGTGGCCACGGCAGCAGCCTCAAAGATTGCTGCTTAAGCATTTAGTGCAAAAATAAATATAATAACAGAAAATATAAATAAATATATCTCATATTTTCGAGAAGACATGTATGCAAGTAGATAAATCTTAATGACTGTGTCTTTTAACGCATTTGTCCGGTCATCAGCGGCAAAATGTGGTTGATGTTTTTCATGGTGCAAAGTGTCGTAAATAATTATGGCTACCATTGCATAGACTTTGTAGATGTTGTTGTTAATGTAAGTGACATCTTTACGTCGTACAAATACTCAGAAATTATTCAGGCCTACCGATATTTTTAGTCGAATCTTTTACTAGAACGAAACTTGTACGAATATCAACAAATTATGCGAGTTCCAAAGAAATTAACTTCTTAGCTTCATTCTTCGATAACGAATCTAATTGTTTCATTTCTCAAAGACAAACACAAAATGACATTATCGTTCTAATTACTCATTTGTATCCATTATTTGTTTATATGTTTACTTACTTATATGTATACTTTGACACAAAATATATTGGCTTTCATTGAATTGATTCAAAAAATCAAGACTTCTAAATTCTTCAATTAACTATACTTATATTTAAATATGTAGAGAAACCTGTTAGCTATAATAATGCAAATTAATTAACGTCAATCGCATATTCGAATCTTAATGAAATGTTGTTTAGTCGTGAGAAAAAAGAAGTTGTTCAGACTTGGTGTAAGATTTATTCAGGTTTTATGAAGTACTCAAAACTTCGTCTTCTAAAGCTTTATTTCGCAACTTTTGTAAGTACTTCTTCGTGATTTTTGAAAGCGAATTTGATGGAAAAGTAGTGGAAAAGGGTGATTCGAAAATATCTCGATATTGCTATGAGAGTTATTCGTTATTCTCCCCTATTCTAAATATCGATTCTAGCAACAAAAACCGATGTCATATAATTTTTAACCAGCAGGGCTAGTGTTGCTGCACACTGCAAAGAGATGGTTAGAGTGATGCGGCGACACGTTGCATGCTGGACATGTATTTGGTATGTCTAGGTCGATTCTTTAACCTGCTAAAGTATTCAGAACGAAGTTGCACAACGGTCAGTAGCTTGGAGAGGAGTTCATTATGTTTTTTGACCGAAAGCATGCGGGCCTCGCCGTGTAAATATTCAACCGCTGACATCAAGAAATATCCTGTAACCTTCTGGAGTGCATTACATCGACACGTCTAAAGCTTTCTTATCTGCGTTTCACTGCATCCAAGCGACCATATCGGTGCGGCATTGTTTATGAGCCGGTCGACTGCCTTGTATGTTGCCAATAACGGTTTTGCTGTCTCGTCCCTATGATCTGCCAGTCAGCGAACGCAGCCTGTTGAAAATCTGACTTCTATAGTGACAATCATCTGCGTACAAGGAAATGGAGATTTTCTTTTGTGGCCATTGTTTGAGATCGTCGAAATCATTATAGGTGGACAAAGTGTAGACTGTCAGTGCGTAACATTTTCGCTGGTGGTGGATTTCAACTGGTAGAGATCCGACACCCTCACCGCATGTCAGCCTATTGACAGTGTCCAGTCAGAACTCCTACAATTGCGAATTTTAGTAATCACTTCATAATTTTGTCTATAAAAGCCTTTCATTTATTTTTGATGGTGTCCAAAAAAGATTCCGTATATCACTCATTCGGGCTAGCAAAACTATGATAACACCTGAGCAACGTTCGTTGCTTATTATACCCTAATTAATAAGTTTGCCACGAAGTTTCTGACATCCAGAAGTAAATGATATCGATAAAACTTTGCACAAGTTCTTTCCTCTTCAAAAAGCAGCTCATAACTGCCATATAAACTTTACGGCCAAAAATAAGTTCTTGTATGGAAAAATAGTACAGAGATATTTTCCCCGAAATCTGCGAACATATTCTTCAGAACGCACCTTTATAGCATATACAAGGTGCGTTCCAAAAAAAAAAAGAACAAATGGTTTTTTCGGCATAATCAATTTAGTTCATTCAAAATAGTCTCCTTCTGCTTCAATACAGCTTTTTCATGGTCCAAAAGCATGTCAAACGAGTCCTCACGACCACTTTGACAACGTTTAAACCACCGGGATAGGCAGTCATCGCCATAAACTTCTTTCATCAACTGAAACGTTTTGGTAAAAGTTTTACCAATTTTAAAACAAAATTTAATGTTGGCTCTTTGTTCGAAGCTCATTTTCGCACCGATAACATACTGACACTTAAAACGCAATAACTTTACTTCCAATCTTTGAAATGTCATGAAATTCTCACTATCGATAAAGATATCAGATTCTAACGCACTAGGCGACATATAGATGGCGTCACCAGGGGGCGCTAGATTCAAGTAATATCTGTCATACTATCTAAGCTAGTAATATCAAGAGGAAGAAGATCTTCCCTATTATTCCCTGTAATGCTATAAAAAATACAATAGTGTAAGGGATTTAAGCTTCGTTGCAGCCTAAGTTAACGCTTTTTTATGTTTACAAAAATTAGAGTTCTGTTGCCTACATTTGGGCGATTAAAACCTAAATACACAAATATTAAATTATTTAATGTTAATTTTAATTTCAAATAATATCAAAGTAATACAGAAATCGTTACCTACAATGAATAACAATATTTTATTTAGCTTTTAGAAAGGTTAAAACAACGGTAAAATTGCGGTTACAAATAAACTATGGTTCTAAGTAACGTGTTTAAGCACAATTAACTACACCTGCATAGACTCATATCTTAGACCTGTTTGCAACGGCTTAGTTGCTAAGACTAGCTGTAATTAACATTATTTTAATTTGCACATGCCGGTGCTATTATTTATATTCAACTAATTCACAGAATATTTTCTTTTATCTACTTCTCGGTCTTGCTGTTCTGCTGTTTTAACTAACGCCACGCTCTGCTTGTACGCGAACAACAAAAACATTCCCACCATGCAAATGTGTACAACAATCAACTCACTGCCAATTCAACGAACAAACCAAAATATAAATAAATCATTTGAACTGATGACCAAACAACCACACACATACATCTACTTGTGTTCGTATGTACGTGTGCTTGTATGTATGTACATAAATAATTATAACAATTTGGCCAATGTTCACTCAACATCTCTTATTCTACCGAATTTGTTGTTATCACTGCGGTTACTCAACAACGCGCATGCCAAATTACAAAAACAAAAACAATATATACATATACGAAATTATAATTTTTCCTCGTTGAATTGTATCTTTTGCTCTCCGAAAACCCATCTTCATTCGCGTGCTCACCTTTTGTATATGTATATATATATATATAAACGCCAATATATACATATATATGTATGTATGTTTGTGCCTATGCATGCTGCTTTCTAAATTTAGGGCATCTTGAGTAGCAGCAACAGCCAGAAAAAGCACAACCACCGTCGGGACGCACGAGAGAGCAACGTGTGGGCACTTGTAAGTAGTCGACCGGCGCTATTGAAGGAGAACGCATTCGCTGCAGTTGATGTATTTCACTTCGCGTGCATATAAGTAGTATGTTGGCCACAGATTTATTATTTGTATTGAACTAGAGTTGCGTAAAGTCTGCACCGTTTCGAGAAAATTGAAACTCAGCTGATTTGCGCACCGTTATATTACCAGCGCAGACGACGGTATACACGGTCAGTCAAAGTTGGTAGTTGAAAGACTAAATAAATTTAGCATAATTAAAAAAGTACGAAATACCGTTAGAAGGTGTTAATATTAAGCAAGCCAATTAATTGCGTTGCAAAAGCAGACAACTGTTATTCAATCTATAAAGCGACGAGTTAATTCATGCTATCTTGATTGTTTCGTCGGCACCGCTACAAACTGCAACAACGACGACGACGACGACGACGACGAGTTTAACAGCATTAGGCACTTCGTCGAGTAACGTGACGACCGGCTAACAGCAGCAGCGGACGCTTGGGAACGCGCACACACATAAAATGGATTCACTTAAAATTCCAAAAGGTAATACCAAAACTGGGTAACACTCCAAACAAATGCCTTTTACTGCGCCAGATGTCACACATACACTTATGTATGTTTGTACGTATGTCAGTATATGTGCTAACATGTGTTTTTCTTTGTCTCTTTTGCTTTGCAGGTGGAAATAGCAATGCGTCAGGTGGCGCCGGCGGCAAACCCACCGGCAGCGTACCAATCACCGTGCGTTTTAATGCCGGCGATGAATGTATTGATGATATCTTTCAGTCATTTCATAATAGCAACAGTAGCGGCGGCGGCGTTGGTGCGGGAGTTGTTGCCGGCGGCAATGGCAGTGTGGGTGGTGGCGGCGGCGGTGGCAGTGCTGGTGGTGGTGGTCCGAACGCCGGCGGTGGGGATTCCCTGTCGAGCAGCCCATCGCAACATCATCAGCTGCAGGCACAACAAAATGTAAGCGCCTATCATGTATGTATRTGTGGGTTTGAATATCTACTTAACGCCATTAAAGTAATATACATATATTAATTGTGTGATACACATATGCATGTACAGGTGGTTTGCACATGCTTATTCTTGTTTGTTGTATAAATATTTTGTTGAAATATTTTCAGTAGATTACTTTTGCAGCGCATTGCAGTGTAAATATTATCTCAAAGTCATAATTGCGGTTATAAGGAGTTGCAGTTATTGTTATTGTTGTCGTTGTAGTCGTTAATAGTCATCCCCTAAATAATATTGTGTAATGCTGCCGAGTTAACAGTTTTTGACGGGATGTAGGAGTCCAGCTCCGTTCCAATTTGGTAAAGCTGGGAACGGTATTAGCTATTCTCCATCCGTTATTTAGTTTAATAAAGATAATTCTCATAATTTTGAGCTTGAGGAAGTGGGAGTTAACACCTTAAGCCGCAGATTATCACTCGCTTTTCGATCACTCGATTATGGAGATATTGAATGACTTTTCGATCATCCTCGCGACCTTTCTTAGTAAATATGTATTTAGAATTCAATTAATTTTCATAATCAGCGCGGAATTTTTTTAAATATTGATTTGAATCCGATCTCCAGGGGGCCCTCCGAAAAAAGTTGTCTGACGGTGCGAAAACCCAAAAAGATGTATTATTACTGTATATACATACATAAGTATTGGTAACGATCGAAGGACGGACAGTCAAAATTATGATTTTTCACAAAATGACAGCTTGTCCGTTTGTATATACGCAAACTAGTCCCTCATTTTTTGAGATATCGATGTGAAAATTTGCATACGATCTTTTCCACTCAAGAAGCTGCTCATTTGGCTGAACCGCCGAAATCGAAGAACTATAGCATCCGTTCCCACGACGGTCGGGCTTAAGTAACCGGAGTGGTTCGGGTTTTATCCGGCCAAGGACTGTCAACTCGGCACCATACCTGGAAATTACTTCGGAAATGTTTTTAGCCGCTACTACAACAACAAAAAAACTATAAAATATAGCTGCCATACAAATGGATCGATGAAAATCAAGTTCTTGTATGGAAAACAGTTTTATTTGGCAAGATATTTTCAGGATATTTGCAAAGCATTATTATCCAAGGCAACGGTATAGTCTCCGCAGACAAATATCTTCATAAAAGCCGTTTTTCCTTAAACTTAATTTGGCTTGGAAGCTTGTTATCCTACCGTTGGCCGGTTGCATTTTTGGTTTCTCTTTTACAGTTAGTTGGTATAAGAAATGCCCCTGTGATGGGCATATATCTAGCTGCGGTGCAGTTAGATCTTCACTCTGCAATAATAAAGAATTAAAAATATTTCTTCAAATTCATAGAAAGTCTCTATTATTCGTCGATTTGTTTGTTTATACATACTTTTATTTATTGATCCATTACAAAAAGCCCTTACGTCGGCAGTTTTCATTCTGCATAAAATCGCTGGCGACAACTCGCCTGCATTTCGGTTTGTTTGTTTCAGTTGACGTTGGCATTCGTGCAAAACAAGTTCAGTGTTATTTCATATCGCGATTTCTGGCTGCCGGTTGTGCTGTTTCACTAAATATACAATCTTGTTCTCTTTAATATATATAGACATATACTATATGTGCATATATATACATGCATACGTGCTATATCGAGTTATACAAATATGTTTTGAGTGAGTCATGCGAGTATAATATACCATTGCTTTGAAGTATTCTTTCCATTATACACGAAATATTCTTCTGCAATGCATTTAGAATATAAAGAGTCTAAATTTGTGCGAATTTTTTATCGATGCCGAATCGCAGGTTTGCGCTTTTTTTAATCAGTGGTGTTGAATTATATTTTCGTTTGCATTCTGATCTATAGCATTGATCAATTGTAACAAAGGTTCGGTTTTAGAAAACATGTTTTTTGATTTGAACGCGCTCCCACTTTTGGGTGAATTTGATTTTCAATGTAATACTTATCGCTCTTAATCGCGTTTAGTTATAGTTCTGTCGTAAAGTAAATTAGGTGTGTTTGATTTAGGTGCGCAAAATAATAATTCCTAACACGTTTTCAGCAAAGGTTTATAATATAACAGATAAATGTGGAGTTTTTGTTAAGGCGAAGATGTTAGAAAATATAACAAATCACCCACGTCACAAATTGGATAAAACTTTTTCGACTAACGGTTAAATTAGTATATTAGGGTTACACACTGGTGCGGTCTTTACAAGCCCTACTGGGTTTGGTTAGATTCAATGATCGAGCCCTGTCACAAATGAGTTGAGGTGGCGTATGCCAATTTCGGCTATTTCCCCAGGTCTGCCGAAAATAAAACCACCCATATGTTTCAACCTCAGTTTTCTGTAAGCTGGCCAATTGAGGAGAAAGGCCTTAATGTTTCCACCTCACCTTCCTCCGTACAAATTTGACAGTTAGCGTGCGGAAAAATATTAGAAAAAATGGCAATTTCTCGGCATAGTTTGGTTAAAAAATGAGCGATAACCTCTTTCGCCAGAAGTCTTTGATTGTCGAGTTATTTTTTAAACATTGTAAGAAAAGGCAGTTTTACGGGACCAAAACTAAACGGTGTAGTACCATCCAACGCTTCCTAACCTAATTGAATCAATTTACTAATACGATCATCTGTGCTTACGGGGTGGCTGCTGAATTTTGCTACAGTAAGAAACTCAAATAAATTTTTTTTTCACTGTATGGAATTCATTTTTCTTTTATTCATGTTAAAGCTCATTCAATTTTATTAAATATAGCTTAATTAGTTTTAAAAATAATGGAATTTAAATGCCCCCCCTGCTCGTTGATGCATGTGCGGCATCTTACCAAAACGTTGTTCATTACTGCTTGGAGAGTTGAGACAGGAATAGCCGCAATTGTT